CCCCAAAACCCCAAAACCCCAAAACCCCAAAACCCCAAAATTAATATTAAAAGCAAATATTAAAAAATGCTTATTTTAACGAAATTAATTATCAAAGTTAAAAGGCTGAGAAAGCAATAAGTCTCTTTCTCTTTTACTCATCTATAGTAAAGTTCCTTAGAATTTTTAATTCATAAGGACCTTTAATTAATTGTTTAGGCATTTCTTAAAATTTCTCCCCCTCTTCTATCTTACTCTCCTCTTTTTAATTAAAATGTTCATCATTAGACTCATTATCAAAAGTATGAATCTCAATGTCATATTATGGATGAAAAGCAGTTAAAGCACCTTCACTTGGAAAATTCGATAATATCTCTCTTTGTATTTTCTTCTTCTCTATCTAAGAGTCCTCTCTCTAATCATACATATTGAAGTTCCCAAATAGCTTATTTAATATACCTTTAATTGCAGAATGATTATTTTTCTCTTTTTTCCCTAGGGCTACATCAGGGCTTAATATTTACCCATCATTAGCGCCTACCTCACATTAAGAACATTAGTGCTTGATGATTATGGTTTCTCTCTTAGGTTTACCTTCATCTTTATTATTTGAATGTTTAAACAAGTATTTGTCTTTAACTGCCTGCGGGTTGAATATAAATTCATTGTAAACACTGATTATTTTCTTCACAAGCTATTCATTGAGAATCTTAAGTAAATCCTAAGACTCTTAATCTTCTTACTCTTCAATAGTCTAAATCAATGCTTGCCAGTCCATAGTTGTGCAATAAGTAAAATTATGCTTATGAAACACCTTCAATATCAAATCGCCATACTCTTGCATAATTTCCTCAATTATGCAGAGATATATTTGAGATCTAAAATCTTCATCAGTTTCATCAAGTGTTCTAAATTCATCATTATTAGGGAGAGAGCTATTTAAACCATCTTCATTATCACTGCTGATACTATTAAATCCATCATTGCTTACTTATGATTGATTAAATATTTAGGGTCCACTAAAAATGTTAGAAGCAAGAGCATCTTTAAGGGTTTTAATCTTAGTTGCCTCTTGATTTGTATTATAATCTTAGTTCTTGAGTTTAGCTTTTTCCTAAATCTTATTCTGGCTAATACCCCATAAATTGACAAGTGTGCCCTCTTCCAAGCCAGTTTAGATAAATTCTAGTTGATTTCCAAAGGGGACTGGCTTTACTAAATGTATTACTTTAGATTGACATTGTATTTTCTTTTATATTTGGCCTGACATTTTATCATAGCAATATACGAAGCCATCCTCACTGCCTGTTAAAATCTTATTTTCATTATCAAAGAAATGAGCTCCAATATTATAGCCCTAGCATTTATGGCCTATATATTGCATAACAAAGTTTTCCTTGGCTGGATCAATTTAAGCTTAACCATCCTAAACAAACCTGATATCCCATAATCTTATTGAATTATCTCTGCCACTTGACAATAGAATAGAATCATACTTGCTAAATATAATCTGATTAAGTTTGTTATTATGTGCTCTGAAGGTAATTTATGCTCCTTAAGTATGTGGGTTACATCTTAAATCATATATTTTTGCGATTCCATCTCTAGAACCTGCAACAAAGACCTCCTCATTACTCTTACCGAAGCATAGACAGTTTATAGTATTTAAATAGCTCTCTGATTATTGCTGCACCATCTATTAGTTTGTATTGTTTATTTTAACCAATGGCTTTCCTGTTAATGGATCCCAACAGAATATCTGAGAGGAAACACATCCTGATATCAAATGTCTATCTTAGTTGCTCAAACTCATAGTACGAATCCAATCTTAATGATCAGTATAAATGTCAATAGACTCATAGTCTCTCCACAATCTAATCGTCCTGTCCAAGGAGCTGGAGTAAAACATATTTTGCTAATGATGGAAGAATTAAAGACTAGTCACAAATTCTGAATGTTCCTTAACTCTCTTGAGGAACTTCTTATTTCTGAGATTCCAAAAAAATATCTAGCTTTGCTCTATAGATCAATTAAAACATAATGAGAAATATTATTACCATTAGAAACTGCGAGATAAGTGCCACTTTAATCTATTTCCAAAGCAAATATACACCCATCATGAATTCTTTAGTTTTATTGTTGTTGTTATTACTACTGACTATTTTGATTACTATCTCTGTTGTCATTAGCATTAATTGTCCAATTCTTTCCAATATATTCAATTAAACCTTGTCTTATTTTTAGTTTGCTTTGACTAATACAAGCAGGATCACTATACTAAAGGTTTAAAATATATTTTACCTTAGAAATTTTATTGATGATTATGTTATTAGTGCTAGTAGAATAACTTGAGTTTGCAGCTCTCAAATGCTAGCAAACATCATAGGCTACAATGCTCTGAGTTTGACTGGTTTTATATTTACTTGCCTCAAAATACATATTTTCAGATTGATGTTAATTTTATATATCAGAAGTCTCCTCGATTTCCTATTGAATGGAAATTGATGGAATTTAAAACGAATTTGGTTCCATTAAATTCTCTAATTTTAAACAAATATTTGAAAAAATTAATTATTATCAAACTTCTCAGATATTTCGATATTTTAATTTTTAGATCTTACGGGGTTTTGGGGTTTTGGGGTTTTGGGG